CTTCTTCCTCACGGTTAGTCATCTTGCTTGCTAATGTTGGGCTTGATAATAACTTACAACTCCTTTTGTGTCGGGGTCACCAATGTTGTGATTACAATAACCAAATAGCTTTTATTAATAAAAAACAGTATTTATTGTAACATAAACTTTTATTATTTTTAATACAACTTTAGAAACACTAACTAATTGACTGACTGACTAACTGACTGAAAAAATCTGAATAAATATTTTTAAATAAAATATTTTTAAATATCAGAGAATCTGACAATTTTAGCCTACTTTGTTGATTCTCGCCACACTCTTATGTAGAGATGGAAATGACAAAAGTTCATACGAAGAATGGAAACAAAACAAAAATCAAAGTCATTATGACAATTTTATGCATACAAGTGGAAGATAAACAAAAGTTGTAGTGAAAAATAATCTAAATATTATGGATAAGTGTGTAATTGAAGAACTGATGGAAACACCTTTTTTTAAGCGATCTGCTGAAGAAAAGATTTTAATTCATAAATGGAATAGACCAACTCCAGATATGAAGAATTTTATAACTGATGTGAAAATGTCGAAATCTGTGGTAAGTCGCCGTTTTCCTACAACTATTTACCATAAAAACCAGTGGATCACAGGCTGTGAACATTTAAATAAATTGTTTTGTTGGTCTTGTTTGCTATTTGCTTGTGAAAAAGACTGAACTGTCTGGTATCTTGGTGGATTTGCTGACTTAAATCATTTAAGCGCAAGTATTGCAAGACATGAGAAAAGTCTTGCGCACTTAAACTGTATGTTGTCTTTCAAAACATTTGGTATACAAAGAATTGACTTAATGCTAGATAATCAAAAAAAAGAGGCACTTAATAAACACAATGAAGTTGTCTCCAAAAATCGACAAATTTTAAGGCGGTTGATTGATGCAGTTTGCTATTTGAGTATGCAAGATTTACTGTTACGCGGTCATGATGAGTGCGCTGAATCAAAAAATCGTGGAAATTACATTGAACTTTTGAGTTTCATTAGTAAATATGATGAAACTCTTTTTAATCACTTGCATAGCAATTCAATATTTAAAGGAACTACAGCTGACATTCAGAACGATTTAATTAATGCAATTAATCAAGTACTTTTGAAACACATAAAATGTGAAATTAAAAACTCTGATTTTGTTGCTATTTTATTGGATGAGTCATCAGACATATCATCACAATCCCAGCTGTCTACTGTAATAAGATTAGTTGACAAAATAGGACAAGTGCAGGAACGTTTTTTGAATATTAGCGATGTCAGCAGGGATAGATCAGCTGCCGCGGTCTCAACTCATGTACTTAACCTAGCTATGATGGCACAAAATCCTATGATTTTGGCAAAAAACTAGTGGCACAAGGATATGATGGCGCAGAACGGTCAGGGTGTTTAAACGGAACACAGGCTAAAGTTAGAGAGACTTACCCAAATGCAGTTTTTATTGAACTTGGTGTTGTCGAAGTCTATAGAGTTCATAGGAGCGTGTATACTATTTTTTTGCAACATGGCCGGCATTTCAAATTACTTTTCACATTCCACAAAAAGAACACAAGCGTTCTTTGAACATGTGAAACGAAAATTTCCGCATATTGCAACGACTCGTTGGTCTTCAAATTCCAGAATAGTAAATTTTGTTTATAATAATAAGATATATATACTTAGCTTTTTTGAGAGAATTTTGGCGGAACCAGATCAATGGGAAAGTATTCTGTGTGCTAGCGGATTTGTACATTTTTTAGAAAAATTCGACACCCATTTTTTATTATTACTGTTTGCAAAAATTTTTGCTTTTACAGATATCATTTTTAATATCCTGCAAGCCAAGTATATGACCATAAGCTACTGCCAAGAACAAATTGAAGAGACAAAAAACGGAATTCAAAATTTGAAGAAAGATTTTAAAAGTATTTATGACGAGACGGCGGCCGTTATAGGACCTCCAAACAAAAAACGTCGTCTAGATGGTACAAGTCTTAGCAGTCATTTTAAATTTTTATTTCATCAAATTATAGATCCCAAATATCCCAAATGGAAGTAAGATTTAAAAGTTTTAAAAAACTTCTCTTTGTGGAATTATTAAATAAACAAAAGTTCGAAAGCTATGTAAAAGTTTTTCCCATTGATCAATTCAACTCTTTAAAAGACGGTTACGCTACATTTTTTGATCTAACTAAACTCAATAATGAGTTAATATGTATTTACAATAATAGTACATTCAAGAGTCTCCAAGTGAGCGAAATACTTGGACATATTTTGAATAATGATTTGAAAGAAGCATTTTCGGAAACATTTAAGTTATGCAGCCTGATCTTGACAATGCCAGTTAGTACTGCTAGTGTAGAGCGTAGTTTTTCTGCTATGAAACGAATAAAGTCATATTTGAGAAATTCTATGGGACAGGAGAGGCTTTCCAGTTTAGCACTTATTTCAATAGAAAAAGGTTTGCTAAAAAAACTAATGCTAAAAGACGATTTTTATAATACTGTTATTGAAGATTTTTGCCTGAAAAGTAGACGAATGGAGTTCACTTATAAGTAATTGATATTGACTGTGAAAGATGTTAATAACCCTCTTGGGGAACCACATCCTTAAAAAAGGTAACGCACCGCATGCATACCTCGAAGGTGGTGGGGAAATTGCATTTAAAAGCGGAAGAAAACGTTTTAGATGGAATTTCGTTTTGATCAAACTGTGAACACCCTGCCAAAAAGCTGACGCCTCGCTACTGCCAATAAATATTAATGAATTAATTAGATGTTGACTTTATCGAACAACATAGAATTTATATATATTATAGAGATATTGTAAAGAAAGCAATTTAAACTCTTTTAAATTTAATCTGAATATTTTAAATTCAATACTTCTTTGTTTTATGACAATTGTTGTTTACCCGTTGAGATCTTAAACACGACTAACTCAGAGCGAAATTGTAAAATTTACAAAAGAGCGATTATTAAGAGACATTATACTAATTTCCTACAACATGCTCCGCCCGTTGAAAGGACCCTTTCAAACGTTTAATCGATAGGGAGTGGTGCAATTTTGTGGATAGGCTGGCGAAGCACACCCTGGTTAGTGCCAATATCCACTATACGAATCCTTCCATCTTTCCCTGTTATAGTTCCCACAATTCTGCCCAGTTGCCAGTGTTGTGGGGGAAGATTGTCATTGTTAATAATCTGCAAAGTGTGTAAATAGTCACGCCGCCACATTTCCTAAAACTGTTGTTTTAAGTACGTAACACGTTGCCAACAAGATAAATGTGATATGTTGGGTATTGTATAGTTTCTTTCAGGAATTGTAATTAACGAAGAACCTATTAACAAGTGTGCAGGCGTTAAAGCCTCACCATCGTTCGGATCGTCTGATAACGGAATTATCGGCCGGGAATTTAAAATTGCTTAAGCTTCAATAATCACGGTTTGTAATTCCTCGTAAGTTAGATTAGACTGCGCCAAATTTTTTAATAATAATGTTTTGCTCTTGACGGAATGAATTTAAACTCAAATCCAGTATTGTTGCTGTACTGTTGCATTTCTCTAAGCCCTTGCTGACTGAAAAACTGTTCTTTAAATTTATTTAGTAGAGTCTGCGCGCCAGTGAAATTTGTTGCATTGTCACAATAAATACGCTGCGGCAGTTCACGACGTGCTATGAATCGTTTTAGGCCTAGAATGAAATTATTAGTGGATAAATCTAATAATAATTCAGTGTGAACTGCCTTTGATGAAAAGCAAACAAAAATTGCTATATAAGTTTTGTATGGGACTTTACTGCGAATACGATACGTTGTATAAAATGGTCCACATAAATCAACTCCTGATATTAGAAAAGGTCGGTTCACAACTAATCGATCCGCTGGCAGCGAGCCCATGATTTGTTGTAGCAGCTTCGGTTTATAGTGGAAACAGTGTACGCAGTTACGCACTATCTTTTGAGCTACTTCCCGAGCATTAATTATCCATACTTGAGATCGTATTAGACTAAGTAAAACCTTAGGGCCAACGTGCATGTGTTTACGATGTAAGTACTCCACAAAAATTTGAGAAAATCGATGATCACGTGGCAGTAAAGCTGGAAATTTTGCATCAAAACCTATTGGTGCATTGGTCAATCGTCCTCCTACTCGAATTATATTAAATGTTCCGCTTGCAGTGAACATCCAAAAAAGGGTTCAGTTTTTGCAAGTCTGGATTCAGGATTTTACCCGATTGAAGCGATGATATTACACTGTGATATGTAAACTGTGATATGAAATTCATGCACTATAATTGGACTCACATCGTTTACGGTTTGATTTTTGTTTATTGGTATTTTGTTGAACACTCGAAGGATATATTTTTTTTTTTAAACTTCATTTTATTAAATACAATCTATTCTATTCATGAATAATAAGTACTACTTATGGCAATAACAATATATGATTGGCATGTGCTAATCACCGCCTTATGAAGAATTACAATTTCTAGAATCTGCTCGGCAAATCAGAAGTTGCGAAGCGTATTAATCTACGAATGTTAAAAGTATCCCTCGTTAGGCCTGCCGCAAGGGGGTTAGGATGAACTACCAGTCGTGAGTGATAGTTGCCGCTTATCTGCTGTATTGACTCGTACACTGTAGAGATGCCAAGATCATGATGTAGGACGTTATTCGGGACAAACCATGGGGCGTCGGCGCAGATACGTAGTATTTTTGATTGAAACCTCTGAATCATATCTAGATTTGACTTCGCTGCTATACCCCAGATGGGTATACGACGACTGTTTTTATTCAGTTAGTTTACTGATATCTTTTCCTTCACGTTTTCTTTATTATTCACCTCCAAGCCACACGCCGCCTTTTTGCGTGTGCTTAAAGGCTACGACACAATTAAAATGATAAAATAAATAAAGGCCATAATACAATGTACCTTAATTCTAGACAAATACTATTAACCTTAATTCTAAACATATCGCCGCCTTTGATGGCTCCAGCAGATATCAACATTCAGATGGAATAGGTGCCAATTTATGGATTGCTCGGCGAACCTCTCCATTCTTTGTTTTTACATCAGCAACTCGAACCCAACCTTTATCATCTCTTGTCACTTTCAGTACTCTCCCAATAAACCATTGCTTAGAAGGCAAATTTTCTTCTGCAATTAACACCATATCACCTTCATTAAGGTTCTTCTGCTTCTTAGTCCATTTGACTTTCTGTTGAAGTTCATGAAGATACTCCGCCGACCACCTTCTCCAAAATTGTTGTTGTATTTCCGAAATTCGTAGCCATCTATCTTTATGAGACCATTCTTCGCTATCCACAGTAGGTTCCACAGTAAGAACGCTTTCATCATTTGGGTCGTTAGACAAGGTTGTCAAAGGTCTTGAATTTAAAACTGCCTCTACTTCCGCAATCACTGTTGCCAGCTCTTCAAATGTAATATGCGATTGACCCAATATTCTAGCCAAATGATATTTTGCTGATTTTATAGCCGCTTCCCATAGTCCACCAAAGTAGGGAGATCTGGGTGGTATCTGATGAAATTCAATACTATTGGCAGTACAATATTTTGAAATCTTGCCCTGTACTTGTTGATCAAAAAACTTGCATTTCATTTCCTCGAGCTCTTTACGAGTACCCACAAAATTAGTGGCATTGTCGCAAAATAATTTTAAGCATAAGCCGCGTCGAGCTACAAATCTTTTTAATGAAGCCAGGAAAGCCTTTGCAGTCAAATCAGAGACCACCTCCATATGCACAGCTTTTGTGGCAAAACAAATAAAAACAGCAATATAGCTTTTTGTTGTTCTGTACCCACGAAGTAGATACGTTGTTGTAATAGGGCCGCAAAAGTCCACTCCAGTCACAGTGAATGGCCTCGCTACGGTGACTCTAGAAGGGGGTAAATCGCCCATAATCTGATTACTCAATTTTGGATGGCATCTAAAGCATTGTGGACAAATACCAGTAATTTTGCGTATTACTCCTCTAGCATGAAATATCCAAACTCGCTGCCTAACTATAGCCATAAGCGCTTGCGTACCAGCATGCAAATATTTGAAATGAAGAAATCGTACAAAACTGCAAACGATTTCTGAGTTATTCGGTAACAAAATTTGATGTTTAGCATCATATGGTAATGCAGCCTTCGCTGATCTCCCACCAACACGTAGTAGCGGAACACCATAAGTATCTTTTACAAAAATGCTCAGATTTTTATATTTACTGTTTGCTGGCAATTCTCTATTCTTCAATAGCAGCTCAATTTCTTCTTTGAAATAATGTTGTTGCACACAGTAGAATATACGCACTAGTGCTTCGTCTAATCTTTCAGTCATAGACTTAACGCTTCTTTGAAATCCAAGAAGATTGGCAAAAATTCTTTGTAATTTTTCAAAATCGCTGAATGTTTCAACCCACGTCACAAAAGAAGATTTCGAGTTATCCTCAGAGCATGCCTCATAAGGTATTTTTTTTTTCAAATAATTAACAGTCATTATCGTACTATTACGACTCCTTTCTTGGTCAGCATTAGTAGTCTTTCTAGACTTATTTGGTGGCCATTCACAACAATCTCTCTTCAAGAAAGAAGGACCTGCAAACCAAATAGAATAAGATAGTTCTTCTACATACGCACCTCTTGATATTATATCCGCTGGGTTAGGCTTTGAAGGAACATGCCGCCAAATACACGTTTTTGTCTGCTCTTGAATCAATAATACCCGGTTGGCAACAAATGTGTTTCAATTTGATGAGTGCTCGCTCAGCCAATCTAGCACAATTTCGGAATCCACCCATAAATAGGTCGCGTCAATAGAAATTGGAAAATTGGAATTGGTTTTTGTCACTAGTTTCGACAGCAATTCCGCAGCCAAAAGTTCCAACTTTGGTAAAGATAAAGTTTTTAATGGCGCTACTCTGGATTTAGCACTCCACAACTGCATTGTAACGTCGTTGTCCACACATATTGAGCGAATGTAAATACAACACCCGAAAGCTCTTTTTGATGCATCAGCAAATCCATGCATTTTAACTCTAGCAACTCGTTTTTCTGCCAAAACAAATCGAGGCACACTTATTTTCTTGACGTCTTTTAAATTTTCGCGGAATTCTATCCATTGACTATGTAAATTCATTGGTAGGGATTCATCCCAATTAGCCTTCAATATCTACAAATCTTGCATGAAAATCTTCGCCTTTACGATTAATGGGTTAATCAGCCCAAGGGGATCAAACAACTTAGATAGTTCCGACAACACTATTCTTTTTGTCACCGCTTTGGAGCGTATCTCCCACTGGAGCCCAGATGATACCAAGAGCTTTTGTTATTTCCTCATCATTCATCCGAAGAGTCTTTTCTTTATCAGCTTCAGGTACAAAATTAAGAAATTTTTCACTATTTGAAAACCACTTCCTTAACTTAAATTTTGATGAGTTTATTACTGCTGATACTTGATTATATATTTCAAAAATTTCATCTTCATCGTTTGATCCACTGATCAAATCATCTATATAAAAATCAGATAACACCTTTCTCGATCCAATCGGATATTTATCGATATAATCTTCACTTAACTGTTTTAACCATCTTGTAGCTAAATATGGGGCAGATGTTGTACCATAAGCAATGGTTCGCAAGCGATAGGCCTTTATGTTTTCGTTTGAGGAAGACCTCCACAAAATCGTTAGATAATTCGCATCATCATCAGTCATCCATGCTTGGCGATACATTTGTTACATCTGCCGTAATTGCATATTTGTAACATCTAAATCGTAGTATTATAGATAACAGGTCATCTTGAACCAGTGGTCCTTTCATCATTACCTCATTTAATGACAAGCCACTGTCAGTTTTACAGCTACAATCGAATACAACTCGAAGTTTCGTACTCGTGGAGTCTGGTCGTAGCACATACTGATGCGGTGCAAAATATTTTATCTTATCCATATCAGCTTCTTCAACGATCGTCATGTGACCTAAAGAGAGGTACTCATCCATAAATGCATTGTAAGCGTCTCGTGTAGAGCGATCTCTACTCAACCTATGCTCTAGTGACAGCAACCGTCGTTTGGCAGCATTACAGGAACCAAACAAATCACTCACTGTTGTTTTAAAAGGAATTTTCGTAATAAATCGGCCAGATCTATCTCTACGAATTGATTCACAGAAAATTTTCTCGCATTCCTCTTCTTCTTCGGTTAAAAAATTTGATTTAGTTGAAATCTGTTCTATTTTTCAGAATTTTTCAACCAATTGACTCAAGTTTTCATTCTCATTATGGTTGTGATTGACCAGCATATTATTTATTTTATGACTAGGTGCTAAACATTCTTCTAGTATGGATTTCTGTAGGGTTGGCAACCTTTCATTAAGATGAATTCGTCCAATCGACAACAAATCGAAGAAAATTTCCGCACCAATAAGAATATCTATACGCGCTGGCTTATTGAACATTGGATCAGCCATTTGAATATTTTTTGGTAAATTCCAGTCCGCAACATCGACATAACGATTAGGTTTGGAGCTTGTTATTTTCGGTAAAACATAAAATTGCAGACTGACTTCGAATTCATTTATTCTTGATTTGATGGTAGCCACAGTTTTTGTTTTAAAGCTAGTTACAACGTCTCCAACACAGCTAGCATCTAATTTACAAGACGTTTTTTTAATAACAGTTTTTGAGCAACTTTCTCACACATCAAATTTACTTGAGAGCCAGAATCTAATATGGCTCACATTTGGTGATATTTGCCAAACTTGTCCGCTACCATTACTGTTGCCACAAAAACCTCGTTTTCAGTCATTACGTTCATAACTGATGACTGAGCTGTCTCCTGTGTTGACGTAGATGGCCAATTTTTGCATCTTTGTTCATTTGGCTCCAAGATATAATCTTTATGTAAAAGTTGATGATGAGATAAATTACATTTCGAGCATTTAACAGCAAAGCATTCTTTTTGAAGGTGTCTCCTTTTCAAACATGTAAAACATACCTTTATTCTCCGTGCTACAATAAAGCATTCTTTTAACTTGCTACAATCTGCAATATCGTGGCCACTGCCATTGCAGACTTCACATAAAGGTTTTGTAACTGCAAGAGAGGTTGAGTAGTTGCGGTTATTTCTATACTCTTTTTGATAGTTTACAGCCTTTGAATTCACTTGATTAACTTTATGTTCCCTTGCATCAAGGTTCTCACATCGCCTCGTCAAAACCGCTGAACATTCATTCCAAGTTGACAGCTTCCTGTAATCCACTGATTCTTCCCATTTGACCTGCGAATCTTCGTCCACTCTTTCCATCACCAAATGAATTAACATGGCATTCGCTATATCTTTGTAATCACCTAATGATAGCATTGCATTCAAATGTGCATTCGCTGCATTTAATACATTTCTTAAATGAACTGCAGATAGTTTTGTTAATTTTGGGACAGCAAAGAGGGCTGTAATATGTTCCTCGAACATCAACGACTTTTTATCGAAGCATTCCTTCAATCGAACGAGTGCTTTGGGGTAATTGTCTTCTGTGACATCAAAATCGTCAATAACTGCCAGCGGCTTAGAGCCCAAGTGCTCTTTAAGTATCAAAAATCGTTCGCAGTCATCAAGCATTTCATCCTGGTTGATTAATTTATTAAACAAGGATATAAATTTCGGAAATTCGCTATACTTCCCTTCAAATTTCGGTTATTTTACTTCCCGCCGACTTCTTGGGCCCGGCAATAACGATGTTGTATTCGTTGCATTGACATCTACCAGTGATAGCTTTCTTTTTTTTGTAAACACATTATTTTTGCTTTCGTGGCCACAAATGCATCTTCAATTTCTGCTGTAATTGCTTCGCTTCGCACCTTGGTTTAGTTTGTCGATATCTGCTTGCACACTCAGAAACTGTTTGAAGTAATTTTTTGTCAAACTAAGCCTGCAGTTAAGTTCTTCTGTTGACAAACTTTTTTCAAAATCATTGATTTTATGCGAGTGATGTTGCCTTTGGTGCTGCCTCTCAACGCCTTCAAGTCCGCCGGTTTCTTAGACCCTTTCTGCACGCCTTCTTGCTCCCCGTCGCTGAGTTCGTGAATTTCTGAGTCTAACATTTTGCAATTATATTTTTTTTTCTGGATCACTATCCCTTTTCTGGATCACTATCCCTTTTATGGATCATTATCCCTTTTATGGATCACTATCCCTTTTATGGATCACTATCCCGGGTTTCGGCACCAATGTTTTTTTTCAGTTAGTTTACTGATATCTTTTCCTTCACGTTTTCTTTATTATTCACCTCCAAGCCACACGCAGCCTTTTTGCGTGGCTACGACACAATTAAAATGACAAAATAAATAAAGGCCATAATACAATGTACCTTAATTCTAAACAACGACCTTGTATAAAAGTATTTTATTTTGTAGCGATAATTTGGATTTAGGATTAAGTAGCCAGTAAAGTGAGCGTAGCTTTAGTCCTAACTGCTTTCGTTTTGTAAAGATGTGGTGATGCCAATTTAGACGACGATCAAAATGTACACCTAGGTATTTGGCGTTTTCAGCTTGCGGCAATTCACGGCCATTCAGTCTAACGGAAGGGCAGGTACCGTGGCGGAGTGTAAAAGTAGTTTGAACTGATTTGTTATCGTTCAATGTGCCAAATGTCTAGCCATGCGTTGACATCGTTCAGATTACTTTGCAAAAGTTGTGAAGCTACTACAGGATCTGCGTGTTTCGCCATCACTACAGTATCATCCGCAAATGTTGCAGTGTATGTTTTAGCGCTGAGTGGGAGATCTGCTGTGAACAGAGTATATAGAGTAGGACCCAACACACTTCCTTGGGGAACTCCAGCCTCCATTTGAAAAAGTTCAGTGTGACAGCTATTCATTTTAACCATAAAGTGCCGATCTAGTATATACGATTTTAAGACGGAGAAGTAGCAATGCGGGAGTTGTAACTTTAATTTGTAGAGAAGTCCAGTGTGCCATACTTTATCGAATGCTTGTGTTATGTCGATAAAGGCTGCTGTGCAGTATTCTTTATTTTCCAATGCAAGTCTTGCAAAGTTGTATACTCTATTTACTTGTTCAATAGTAGAGTGATGTTCGCGAAACCCGAATTGGTGGTTGGGAATCAGATATCTATTTTCGATAATTGGCTTTAGACGTTTTAGGAATACTCTCTCAAATACTTTTGACAACACAGGAAGTAAGCTGATCGGTCGACGGGCTTACCGGGCTTTGGAATTAATATAATTAAGCGACTTTCCATTGAGCTGGGTAGTGTTCACTGGTAAAAATTGCATTGAACAATTGGTTTATGAATTTAAAACCCACATCTGGTAGCTCATGTAGCACCCTTCCGGTTATCAGGTCATATCCTGGAGCTTTTCTGGTTTTAATGTTTTTTTTTATGACCCATTTTAATTCACGAGTCAAAGACTTAGGAATAGGAAAGTGTGATTGATGCGGTGTGTGGAGAAAAGCCTCAACTTCAAACTCTTTCAGATTATTTGTAGAGCAGCGTGGCTTAAAGACTTTTCCAAGGTGTGCTGCAAAAGTTTTCGCTTTATCAGCATCAGTTTTAGCCCATTGCCCATTACTCATCTTTATTTTTGGTATATGCGATTGTAACGAACGGATTCGTCGTTTTAATTTTGCTGAGGTATTACTCAGTCGCGGTCCGGGTCGTTGCAATAAATTTGTTTTATTGACTAGTTCGAAGCTGGTAAACCAATGAGTGGAAAGTAAAAGACCATTTGTTTTTATTATTTTAAAATTTTATTTATTAAAAGTTTTCTTAAATAACTTATTCTAGTCTTGATTCTACTCAGTAAGTTTTACCCAAAGACGTCAGAACATCAAAGGGTTTTTTTTCCAAATCTACGTAATTAGTTTCTAGCCAAAGACGTCAAAACATCAAAGGCGTTATACGATCTACTCACAAGTTTCTACGAATTTATTTAGCCTTAGCGTCGAAACACTATAGGCTTCTAAAAGTGGACTTAGCGCTGGAGTAGCGATCTACTCACTTCGGTGTGCCGGTGCTAAGTGATCTTTCATATAAAATCTCCGCTATTTATATACGACACTTTGCTTTGCTTAATTGCACGCACAACCGCACAAGTATAATTCGCTGTCAGCTTTGTTATGCTTGTCGTGTGTGCGTATGTTCGCGGTTGGCTTTGTTTTGCTTGTCGTGTGTGCGTGTGTTCGCGGTTGGCTTTGTTTTGCTTGTCGTGTGTGCGTGTGTTCGCGGTTGGCTTTGTTTTGCGTGTCGTTTGTGCGTATGTTCGCGGTTGGCTTTGTTTATTTGTTTCAAATATATAAATCGAGTTTTATCCAGATGATTTTTAGTAAAAAATAATAAGTTTTATGTAGGGCGGAATTTGTACAAAATTCCGTCCTTACATTTCCCTCCATCTTCGGGGAATTTGAACTGGACTACTTCGTTGAATGGTTTCGTGTCCGCTTTCTAGGATTCCTAAAAACTTTGAGGAATTCATCTTGATGTGTACTGGTGTAATCCTGCTCACGTGGTACATCTGGACTTGATTTTCGACTCTGTGTGAGTTAAATTCGCGACGTGGTACATCTGGACTCTGACTTTTCGACTCTGTGATGAGTTTTAAACTTCGCTGACGCGGTACATCTGGACTCTGACTTTTCGACTCTGTGATGAGTTTTAAACTTCGCTGACGCGGTACATCTGGACTCTGACTTTTCGACTCTGTGATGAGTTTTAAACTTCGCTGACGCGGTACTTCTGGACTCTGACTTTTCGACTCTGTGATGAGTTTTGAATTTCGCTGACGCGGTACATCTGGACTCTGACTTTTCGACTCTGGGATGAGTTTTAAACTTCGCTGACGCGGTACATCTGGACTCTGACTTTTCGACTCTGTGTTGAGTTTTAAACTTCGCTGACGCGGTACATCTGCACTCTGACTTTTCGACTCTGTGATGAGTTTTAAACTTCGCTGACGCGGTACTTCTGGACTCTGACTTTTCGACTCTGTGATGAGTTTTAAACTTCGCTGACGCGGTACATCTAGGCTCTGATTTTTCGACTCTGTGATGAGTTTTGAATTTCGCAGATGTGGTACATCTGGACTCTGACTTTTCGACTCTGTGATGAGTTTTAAACTTCGCTGACGCAGTATTTCTGGACTCTGACTTTTCGACTCTGTGATGAGTTTTAAATTTCGTAGACGTGGTACATCTGGACTCTGACGTTTCGACTCGGTGATGAGTTTTAAATTCTTCTGACGCTGTACATCTGGACTCTGACTTTTCGACTCTGTGTTGAGTTTTGAACTTCGCTGACGCGGTGGTACTAAGCACCTACAAGGTGTCTGCTCTTGTGGATTTTCTTGCTGGGCTTTTAAATAATCTCGAGGTTGTACGCGTTGTGTCGTTATGCTTGACTTTGGTAGTGATGCTGAAGTCACATTTCTAGTTATAAATGCTGTTGCTTGCTTAGCGATTGATTGGTTCTGAGGCTGATTACTTGGTTTCTGATGAGGAATGGATGACTCAGAGTTTGGACTATGAATAACGTTATCCCGTTCAGGCATATTGGGTATGCTTCTCATTGTATTTTGTAGCACCATTACTTGAGGGGACTCGACTACCATGCGTCCTACGTTCACTTCTCGAACACGTTGACGACTCACTTTATCCTGTTCTGTACTTAGTTCTTCGAAGTCATCGGCAAGTGTTGTTAATTCATTTAGGCTTGTAAACTCTGAACGTTTAATGTACATCCGGTAGTCTGCCTTCATGTTTCGATACACCCGCTCCAGTTGCGAATCTGGATCCATGCCAGTGTGTCGCATTAAATTTATAATGTCAAGTGAGTAATCCTTGAATCTTTCGTTTGTCTTTTGTAGTCGTGTTCGTACCTCATTTTCTAATTTTTCGAAATATCTACATGATATGAAGAATTTTAAGAAATCTTCCTTGAAGCTTAACCAGAGGGGCCAAGGTTTCTGGTTGTTGCGGTACCATCTTAATGCTTTATCTTCAAAGGGTATTGGCATCATCTTGGGAATTAGATTAACATCGATACTGTACATAGCCGCCAGTTCCTCTATGTGATCGATGAAACCTAGTGGATCCTTACCACCGTCATATTTACAGGACCACTTCTGTACCTCTTCAACCATCTGAAGGTAGGAGCGCACTGGAGGATTTATTGAACTTCCACATGTTCCTGGTATTCCTCTTGATCCCACCGACATTGTTCCTTGTTGTGATATTTGTTAATATTTTATCCTCTGGATCTTAAATTTCCATTCGAGCCTTGACCACTGTGATTTGACCAATCAGGTCCCTGGAAATTCTTTTTCTTTCCACTTGGAATACTATCGAACACTAGTCCCTGCTCGGGCGCCAATTGTAACGACACGGATTCGTCGTTTTAATTTTGCTGAGATATTACTCAGTCGCGGTCCGGGTCGTTGCAATAAATTTGTTTTATTGACTAGTTCGAAGCTGGTAAACCAATGAGTGGAAAGTAAAAGACCGTTTGTTTTTATTATTTTAAAATTTTATTTATTAAAAGTTTTCTTAAATAACTTATTCTAGTCTTGATTCTACTCAGTAAGTTTTATCCAAAGACGTCAGAACATCAAAGGGTTTTTTCCAAATCTACGTAATTAGTTTCTAGCCAAAGACGTCAAAACATCAAAGGCGTTTATAAAATCTATTCAATAATTTCAGATAACTTCTTGTTGTAAAGTGAGTTTCACTAATAAGCATAACATCAATGTTTTTGTCAAGAAGAAAAGTCTTAATTTCGCAAATATGTTGGGTCAGCCCGTTAGCGTTCCAGATAGCTATCTTTAGACTACTCATTATTTGGATGTATTAGCGACAAATGTGGTTAGGAGGTTGAGCATAGAGCTCATTTGTTCCATAACCGTTTTGAGCATTGATTTAAGCTCAGGAAAATCGTTTTGCTGAGCTGAGTTTACGTGCTCTTGAGTGTTTATATTGTTAGATTTAACAACATTTGCATACGTTTGGCTTGTTACATTCAATTTGGTGTTCTGAAGGATATATGATATTATTCGAACAATACGACGAAATGACGAAAAATCATCAATAATTTTATTGAATATATGTTCATCGATACCACTGTTGCTACATTTCAAGACTGTAGGTTTACGTTGTTCAAGGTCTTTTGCTAGAAGTTCAGTTGTCAATGTTTCTTTTGGCCATTCTGCTAATGGAAGCGACAAAAACTTTGGTCCACAAAACCAAATCGAATCCTTCAGCTCGCGTGCTTGACAGCCTCGAGATACTGTATCAGCTGGGTTTTGCTTACTTGGGACGTAACTCCACGTAGTGCCGCGCGAATAGTCTTGTAGTTCAGAAACACGGTTAGCTACAAAACAATTTAAAGTTGACGAATGCATCTTCATCCAATGTAACACTATTTTAGAATCTGTCCAAAAAAAGATTCCATTAATAAATGGTAATACTTTTGGTTTTATTTTGTTCCAAGTTTTACAAAGAAGTACGGCAGCGCATAATACTAAACGAGGCAGCGATACTGCTTTGATCGGCGCAACTTTTGATTTTGATATTAACAACGAGGATTTGTAAAAGCCATTATGATTTGACCGAATATATATACAACATCCGAATGCTCGTTGAGAAGCATCGGCAAATCCGTGTACCTGACTGTAGCAAGCTGATGATGTTAAAACATAACTTGGTACTTCAATGTGGTTAAGATATTCCAAATCAGATTGAATTTGTATCCATGATTGGTTTAGAATTGAAGGCAATGGATCATCCCAACCCAGTTGATGAATCCATAATTCCTGTATCAAGATTTTACACCGTATAACAATAGGACTCAATAGTCCCAAAAGATCAAAAATTCGAGCAACAACTGATAAAATAGTACGTTTGGTCGCAGCCTTTGACTCTTGTTGCTTATATTGAAAGCAAAAAACGTCATCTGGTGGCCTCCACGCCAAACCGATAGTTTTGGTAATATCATCTTCGTTTAAAAGAATTTGGTATTCGTCACTTGAGTTTACCCAATTTTTGTGGTTGGAGCTCCATTTTGCCAATTGTAATCCTGCATTTGCTGCTATCTTAGTCACTTGTGATACTTTGATGCAAAGCTCCTCAATTGTGTCTGCTCCCGTTAGCAAGTCATCAACATACAAGTCATTGCTCAAAACTGAAGCTCCAATTGGCATCTCCTTCTGATACGCATTTGCAAGGTAAGTCAGGCTTCTGATGGCCAGAAATGGTGCTGCTGACATTCCGTAAGTTACTGTGTTGAGCTGAAAAAGTTGCAGAGGTTCATTAACAGTATTTCTCCAAATAACTAATTGAAAATTACGATCTCTTGGATCAACTACAAACTGTCGATACATTTTTGATATATCCGCAGTCAGTGCATAGCGATGTAAACGAAATGTCAATAATGTCAAAATAAGATCCTGCTGAATTGTAGGTCCCACCATTAAGATTTCATTAAGTGATCGACCCGTTGATGTGCGTGCAGATGCATCAAATACGACGCGTAATTTTGTTGTGGTACTTTGAGGCCGCAATATGCAATGATGAGGTATTATATAGTGCGGTGTGATATTGTCAAAGTTGTCGACACGACTCATATGACCTAACATCAAATATTCTTGCATGAACTTAACATAATCCTCTTTGAGAGTCTGCTGACGCTCTAATCGACGCTCAAGTGAAAGGAATCTTCGTTTCGCCATTTCAAATGATTCACCTAAGACTTCTGGAGACTCTTTAAATGGTAATCGAACTTGTATTTGGCCATTGCTTGTAATTGTGATATTTTCTACAAAATGTTTCTCACAATCCAACTCCTCCTTAGAGTAATTAATTTTTTGATCGCTTTCTAATTCTTCAATTTTCCAAAATTTTTGTAACATTGAACCTATATTAGACGACTGAATGTAGTTACAAGTGAGTGCCCGGACAGTAGGCGTATTTTTATATAGTCCTCCAATGATCCACCCTAATTCGGTATTTAATAAACATGGAAGGCTGGTGCCTTACGAAATTTTCCCATCTAATATTAATTCAAAAAATCCCTGCGTACTTATTAATAAGTCAATTTGTTGTGGTTTAAAAACTAATGGATCAGCTAAAACAAAGCCTTCAGGAAAATTCCACGATGTTGTGTCTATCAACTGCTCTGGATGGTTCAATGAGATACGTTTAGTGACAGCGAATTGCGATGACAATTCAAATTTTGATATTCGAGATTTTATAGTTGCAGTTATTGAATGGCCAATTTGTGTTCTAACATCACCAATGCCTGACACTTCCTGGTTTATTCGCTCAAATGGTAATTGAAGTTGCTTTGCCATCTTTTCAGTGATAAAATTTATCTCTGAACAAGAGTCTAGTAATGCTCGTATAGGTTGGTATAAACCGTATTTATCCTTAATAAGTACTACAGCTGTGGGAATCAATGATCGTTGTTTTGTACGCGATACTAGAGAAATTGATGGAGATTGCAGAAAATTTAGTTGTCCAGGTGGACTGTCTAACAAATTTGGTCTCACATTTTGCTCGACGGGTTTGAATTTATGCAAACACGTATGATGTATACCATTGCATATTCGACAGCGAGCTGTGGATTGACAATTTTTAACGACGTACCCTTTGCGTAGACAATTTAAGCAAACAGAAAGATCTCTTACGAATTTAAATTTGTCGTTAAAAGTCAGTGCTACAAACGATGGACATGATCCTAGGCTGTGGTCTCCTCCATTACACTTCATACAATTGATTTTGGTGTTAACAAATGTGATCAATTTTCTGTTAAAAGAATTATTTTTGGTATCATTTACTCCATCATTATTGCATCTTCTCGAATTGCTTTCCAGAAATTGACATCTTCGGCTCAAAAGTGTGTAGCAACTTTCCCAAGATGGCAATGACTCAAAATCTTGATGAGAATCATAAAAAATTTTAGTTTCGTTATCCACCTTAGACAATACTAGATGGATAATTATGGCGTTCAGAATGTCTGCTTCCGAACCCAACGATAGCAGTGAACCGAATAAAGCTGACACTGTATCTACAATATGCCTGAGTGTGTTGAATCGCCCTTAGTCATATCTTTAATAAAAAAAAAGGGAATTAATATGTTCCATAAAAATTAAGACCTTTTTGTCGTATCTCAATTGTAATTGCGTTAGAGCCTTTGTATAATTTTCCTCGGTTATTTGAAATGGTTGTACTACGCTCAACGCCGCACCCGAAAGACAACTTAAAAAATAATTAAATTTATTAATTGTTGTTATCGACGGATCGTTGTGAATTAAATTTGTAAACGCAGAGAAAAAGCGTTTATATTCGCTTTATTTACCATCAAATCTTGGCAATTTCAATGCTGACAAACGACTATGATGTGAGGAGTTGTTTAAAATCGACGAATTCAATACACTTGATTTATGTATCGGCTTTATTTTTTGATTGTTGATTGTGGACACAAAAAGTGATTTTATGCTGACATATATGTCCTCTAATTTGCTACTCTTATCATCATCCGGACATGGGCCCTGTTTCACAAACACTTTTCACTTTTCACTTTGCAAAACTTATGAGTGACTTTTTTTTTGCAAACTAAAAGTGAAAAGCGTTGCACCAAAGACAACATAATTTACTTTGCACTTTGCAAATAAAAATTTCACTGCAAAGTCTTTGCATAAAATGCAAAGCAAAGCGTTGCACCAAAAAATTAGATCACTTTCATTTTGTATTGGTTTTTGAAAGCATTTCGATTCTGTATGTATACTTGTTTTTTGTTTGTTTGATATTTTGATGCTATGAGTACATGATTTATGCATAGTATGTACTTATGAGTTTAATTTTTGTTTAAAATAAAAGTTTTTAAAATAATATTTTATTTCAATAAACTTTATTATTATAATTTGTAATATTTGATAATTTTAGTACAATTATATGTTATACATTAATACAAAACACAAAATTTTTGTAAATGATTTTTGTTATTGACATTGAATCGTAAATAAAGAAGTTGTGTGTATTCATATATATTGTGTATATCCATTAAAAGCATTTTTATGCTTTTAATTTTTTTTGCAGTTTGAAAAGTTATAAAAAAAGAATTTAAATGTAAAGAGTATGAGTATGAGTTGTTTTAACAACAATTATATTGAAAAACAAAGTTAACAAATATAATAAGTTGCTTTTATATAAAAATTTAGTTGAAAATCTGTCATTATTATTTATTTTTAAAATATTATAAGTTATTAAAGTATTGTTTTCTTGTCGCTGTGCATTATCCTAATACAAAAGAAACCTACGCATAAAGGGCCTAAATTACTGATTTTATTTAGAATATTTCTCTCAATTTATACAAAATTACCTTAAAACTAACTTAACTAATTTTACTATCAACGTTAAAATAATATGTCTGTTATCACTAATTTTAGTGGACTGTATTATTTTTAATTACATTTCAAAAAAGATTCAAAAAACGACGGAAGTCCAGGCACTTGTGATTTTTTCTTCTATAGTCTTTAGAAATATATTTTTATTATCATAATTAGATACGGATAATTAGATATTTAAAAATATTACAATGTTAGCTATTATAGGATATTTTTTACCCATGTTTTTTCTTAGTTCATAATTCCGAGAATTTGAACTATAATAGACTTATAATAATAATAAACTGTTCATTAAAATAAATAAGTGTTCATGCTTAAACAATAATTCACATAAAATATTTATAATAAATGTATTATAAATTTTTTTTAGAAACTGAACTCTTTAATTCACAATTTCAAAGTATTGTCCGGTAATATATCCCTTTAATTATTGCAACTAAATTTATTTCAAAAACAGCAATAATATTTGCTTAAACTAATTTTCTATTTCTATTTTTTTAAAACTATTTTTATTTATTTATTAATGATTTCTTTCATTTTACGCATTAAAATAAATCACTTTGCAAAATTTGCAAAGTGAATTAATCATTTGCAGTTTTTTTGTAAAGTTTTGCAGTTTACTTTTGCAAAGCGCAAAGTAAAAAGTGTTGGTGCAACAGAAAGTGCAAAGAAACCAGTTTTTTGTCAAATATTTCACTTTTCTTTTCATACTTTACTTTTCATCGAAAAGTACATCGGTGCAACCAAAGAGTATATACACATAGAGTGTGCATGTCGAACAAAATATCAGTCACAAAAATTTTGTTCTACTGGTTTTTTAAAAAACCAGGAATTACTCAATATTTGAGTCGTTTTACAAAATGTGTGCAAAGAGATTGAATTTTCATTGATGTGTGCACATTATCACACTCAACCGCTCTTTTGGTTATAAATATGCTCTTTTGGATATAAAAACATATGTATATACATATATACATTTTATATTATGTTTGTTTTCTTTAAATTTCATTGCGTGAACTCACATCACACTCTCTTTCAAGTTCATGTTCATGTTCATGATAGTGTAAATAGGCCCAATAACTTACAATTTATAAATTTGAATGAGACTTCACAAGTTTATTAAATTAAAACACTTTTAATATTTAAATTGCTATTGCCGAGGTTTTTTGACTTTCTTAGCGTATGTATATGATATTAATAACTGAATTTATAAATTATAAGTCACCATTTATATATGGTGCAATTTTTTACCTAAATATGTTGTTTTTTAAAAACCTTTACAATAAATAATAAGCAATAAAATAACTTAATAATAAAAAACGTCATCTGGTGGCCTCCACGCCAAACCGATAGTTTTGGTAATATCATCTTCGTTTAAAAGAATTTGGTATTCGTCACTTGAGTTTACCCAATTTTTGTGGTTGGAGCTCCATTTTGCCAATTGTAATCCTGCATTTACTGCTATCTTAGTCACTTGTGATACTTTGATGCAAAGCTCCTCAATTGTGTCTGCTCCCGTTAGCAAGTCATCAACATACAAGTCATTGCTCAAAACTGAAGCTCCAATTGGCATCTCCTTCTGATACGCATTTGCAAGGTAAGTCAGGCTTCTGATGGCCAGAAATGGTGCTGCTGACATTCCGTAAGTTACTGTGTTGAGCTGAAAAAGTTGCAGAGGTTCATTAACAGTATTTCTCCAAATAACTAATTGAAAATTACGATCTCTTGGATCAACTACAAACTGTCGATACATTTTTGATATATCCGCAGTCAGTGCATAGCGATGTAAACGAAATGTCAATAATGTCAAAATAAGATCCTGCTGAATTGTAGGTCCCACCATTAAGATTTCATTAAGTGATCGACCCGATGATGTGCGTGCAGATGCATCAAATACGACGCGCAATTTTGTTGTGGTACTTTGAGGCCGCAATATGCAATGATGAGATATTATATAGTGCGGTGTGATATTATCAAAGTTGTCGACACGACTCATATGACCTAACATCAAATATTCTTGCATGAACTTAACATAATCCTCTTTGAGAGTCTGCTGACGCTCTAATCGACGCTCAAGTGAAAGGAATCTTCGTTTCGCCATTTCAAATGATTCACCTAAGACTTCTGGAGACTCTTTAAATGGTAATCGAACTTGTATTTGGCCATTGCTTGTAATTGTGATATTTTCTACAAAATGTTTCTCACAATCCAACTCCTCCTTAGAGTAATTAATTTTTTGATCGCTTTCTAATTCTTCAATTTTCCAAAATTTTTGTAACATTGAACCTATATTAGACGACTGAATGTAGTTACAAGTGAGTGCCCGGACAGTAGGCGTATTTTTATATAGTCCTCCAATGATCCACCCTAATTCGGTATTTAATAAACATGGAAGGCTGGTGCCTTACGAAATTTTCCCATCTAATATTAATTCAAAAAATCCCTGCGTACTTATTAATAAGTCAATTTGTTGTGGTTTAAAAACTAATGGATCAGCTAAAACAAAGCCTTCAGGAAAATTCCACGATGTTGTGTCTATCAACTGCTCTGGATGGTTCAATGAGATACGTTTAGTGACAGCGAATTGCGATGACAATTCAAATTTTGATATTCGAGATTTTATAGTTGCAGTTATTGAATGGCCAATTTGTGTTCTAACATCACCAATGCCTGACACTTCCTGGTTTATTCGCTCAAATGGTAATTGAAGTTGCTTTGCCATCTTTTCAGTGATAAAATTTATCTCTGAACAAGAGTCTAGTAATGCTCGTATAGGTTGGTATAAACCGTATTTATCCTTAATAAGTACTACAGCTGTGGGAATCAATGATCGTTGTTTTGTACGCGATACTAGAGAAATTGATGGAGATTGCAGAAAATTTAGTTGTCCAGGTGGACTGTCTAACAAATTTGGTCTCACATTTTGCTCGACGGGTTTGAATTTATGCAAACACGTATGATGTATACCATTGCATATTCGACAGCGAGCTGTGGATTGACAATTTTTAACGACGTACCCTTTGCGTAGACAATTTAAGCAAACAGAAAGATCTCTTACGAATTTAAATTTGTCGTTAAAAGTCAGTGCTACAAACGATGGACATGATCCTAGGCTGTGGTCTCCTCCATTACACTTCATACAATTGATTTTGGTGTTAACAAATGTGATCAATTTTCTGTTAAAAGAATTATTTTTGGTATCATTTACTCCATCATTATTGCATCTTTTCGAATTGCTTTCCAGAAATTGACATCTTCGGCTCAAAAGTGTGTAGCAACTTTCCCAAGATGGCAATGACTCAAAATCTTGATGAGAATCATAAAAAATTTTAGTTTCGTTATCCACCTTAGACAATACTAGATGGATAATTATGGCGTTCAGAATGTCTGCTTCCGAACCCAACGATAGCAGTGAACCGAATAAAGCTGACACTGTATCTACAATATGCCTGAGTGTGTTGAATCGCCCTTAGTCATATCTTTAATAAAAAAAAAGGGAATTAATATGTTCCATAAAAATTAAGACCTTTTTGTCGTATCTCAATTGTAATTGCGTTAGAGCCTTTGTATAATTTTCCTCGGTTATTTGAAATGGTTGTACTACGCTCAACGCCGCACCCGAAAGACAACTTAAAAAATAATTAAATTTATTAATTGTTGTTATCGACGGATCGTTGTGAATTAAATTTGTAAACGCAGAGAAAAAGCGTTTATATTCGCTTTATTTACCATCAAATCTTGGCAATTTCAATGCTGACAAACGACTATGATGTGAGGAGTTGTTTAAAATCGACGAATTCAATACACTTGATTTATGTATCGGCTTTATTTTTTGATTGTTGATTGTGGACACAAAAAGTGATTTTATGCTGACATATATGTCCTCTAATTTGCTACTCTTATCATCATCCGGACATGGGCCCTGTTTCACAAACACTTTTCACTTTTCACTTTGCAAAACTTATGAGTGACTTTTTTTTTGCAAACTAAAAGTGAAAAGCGTTGCACCAAAGACAACATAATTTACTTTGCACTTTGCAAATAAAAATTTCACTGCAAAGTCTTTGCATAAAATGCAAAGCAAAGCGTTGCACCAAAAAATTAGATCACTTTCATTTTGTATTGGTTTTTGAAAGCATTTCGATTCTGTATGTATACTTGTTTTTTGTTTGTTTGATATTTTGATGCTATGAGTACATGATTTATGCATAGTATGTACTTATGAGTTTAATTTTTGTTTAAAATAAAAGTTTTTAAAATAATATTTTATTTCAATAAACTTTATTATTATAATTTGTAATATTTGATAATTTTAGTACAATTATATGTTATACATTAATACAAAACACAAAATTTTTGTAAATGATTTTTGTTATTGACATTGAATCGTAAATAAAGAAGTTGTGTGTATTCATATATATTGTGTATATCCATTAAAAGCATTTTTATGCTTTTAATTTTTTTTGCAGTTTGAAAAGTTATAAAAAAAGAATTTAAATGTAAAGAGTATGAGTATGAGTTGTTTTAACAACAATTATATTGAAAAACAAAGTTAACAAATATAATAAGTTGCTTTTATATAAAAATTTAGTTGAAAATCTGTCATTATTATTTATTTTTAAAATATTATAAGTTATTAAAGTATTGTTTTCTTGTCGCTGTGCATTATCCTAATACAAAAGAAACCTACGCATAAAGGGCCTAAATTACTGATTTTATTTAGAATATTTCTCTCAATTTATACAAAATTACCTTAAAACTAACTTAACTAATTTTACTATCAACGTTAAAATAATATGTCTGTTATCACTAATTTTAGTGGACTGTATTATTTTTAATTACATTTCAAAAAAGATTCAAAAAACGACGGAAGTCCAGGCACTTGTGATTTTTTCTTCTATAGTCTTTAGAAATATATTTTTATTATCATAATTAGATACGGATAATTAGATATTTAAAAATATTACAATGTTAGCTATTATAGGATATTTTTTACCCATGTTTTTTCTTAGTTCATAATTCCGAGAATTTGAACTATAATAGACTTATAATAATAATAAACTGTTCATTAAAATAAATAAGTGTTCATGCTTAAACAATAATTCACATAAAATATTTATAATAAATGTATTATAAATTTTTTTTAGAAACTGAACTCTTTAATTCACAATTTCAAAGTATTGTCCGGTAATATATCCCTTTAATTATTGCAACTAAATTTATTTCAAAAACAGCAATAATATTTGCTTAAACTAATTTTCTATTTCTATTTTTTTAAAACTATTTTTATTTATTTATTAATGATTTCTTTCATTTTACGCATTAAAATAAATCACTTTGCAAAATTTGCAAAGTGAATTAATCATTTGCAGTTTTTTTGTAAAGTTTTGCAGTTTACTTTTGCAAAGCGCAAAGTAAAAAGTGTTGGTGCAACAGAAAGTGCAAAGAAACCAGTTTTTTGTCAAATATTTCACTTTTCTTTTCATACTTTACTTTTCATCGAAAAGTACATCGGTGCAACCAAAGAGTATATACACATAGAGTGTGCATGTCGAACAAAATATCAGTCACAAAAATTTTGTTCTACTGGTTTTTTAAAAAACCAGGAATTACTCAATATTTGAGTCGTTTTACAAAATGTGTGCAAAGAGATTGAATTTTCATTGATGTGTGCACATTATCACACTCAACCGCTCTTTTGGTTATAAATATGCTCTTTTGGATATAAAAACATATGTATATACATATATACATTTTATATTATGTTTGTTTTCTTTAAATTTCATTGCGTGAACTCACATCACACTCTCTTTCAAGTTCATGTTCATGTTCATGATAGTGTAAATAGGCCCAATAACTTACAATTTATAAATTTGAATGAGACTTCACAAGTTTATTAAATTAAAACACTTTTAATATTTAAATTGCTATTGCCGAGGTTTTTTGACTTTCTTAGCGTATGTATATGATATTAATAACTGAATTTATAAATTATAAGTCACCATTTATATATGGTGCAATTTTTTACCTAAATATGTTGTTTTTTAAAAACCTTTACAATAAATAATAAGCAATAAAATAACTTAATAATAAAAAACGTCATCTGGTGGCCTCCACGCCAAACCGATAGTTTTGGTAATATCATCTTCGTTTAAAAGAATTTGGTATTCGTCACTTGAGTTTACCCAATTTTTGTGGTTGGAGCTCCATTTTGCCAATTGTAATCCTGCATTTACTGCTATCTTAGTCACTTGTGATACTTTGATGCAAAGCTCCTCAATTGTGTCTGCTCCCGTTAGCAAGTCATCAACATACAAGTCATTGCTCAAAACTGAAGCTCCAATTGGCATCTCCTTCTGATACGCATTTGCAAGGTAAGTCAGGCTTCTGATGGCCAGAAATGGTGCTGCTGACATTCCGTAAGTTACTGTGTTGAGCTGAAAAAGTTGCAGAGGTTCATTAACAGTATTTCTCCAAATAACTAATTGAAAATTACGATCTCTTGGATCAACTACAAACTGTCGATACATTTTTGATATATCCGCAGTCAGTGCATAGCGATGTAAACGAAATGTCAATAATGTCAAAATAAGATCCTGCTGAATTGTAGGTCCCACCATTAAGATTTCATTAAGTGATCGACCCGATGATGTGCGTGCAGATGCATCAAATACGACGCGCAATTTTGTTGTGGTACTTTGAGGCCGCAATATGCAATGATGAGGTATTATATAGTGCGGTGTGATATTATCAAAGTTGTCGACACGACTCATATGACCTAACATCAAATATTCTTGCATGAACTTAACATAATCCTCTTTGAGAGTCTGCTGACGCTCTAATCGACGCTCAAGTGAAAGGAATCTTCGTTTCGCCATTTCAAATGATTCACCTAAGACTTCTGGAGACTCTTTAAATGGTAATCGAACTTGTATTTGGCCATTGCTTGTAATTGTGATATTTTCTACAAAATGTTTCTCACAATCCAACTCCTCCTTAGAGTAATTAATTTTTTGAT